CGGAGGAACAAGCGCCCCCCTCCCGCACCCCGGAAACACAAGAGGCTCCCATGTTAGCATAGGGATCCAAATAGGGAGCAGAGGCTAGGGAGGGAGAAGCAGCTGGGGTATTTATACCCCAGGTGCACAATACAGCAAGCACTTTACTACTTTCAGTCCCTAACAGCTTCTTTCCTTTAAACTCCCTACGGGAGTGAGCATTTAGCACAGCAGTTAAGATACCACTGGCGGGGGGAGGGGGGTGCAGCGCTGTGGCATAGTAGGCTAAGCCTCCGCCTGCGGTGCCTGCATCCCATTTGGGGGCTGGTTTGAGTCCCGGATGCTCCTCTTCCATTCCAGCTTCCTGCTGATGGCCTGGGAAAGCAGTAGAAGATGGACCAAGTGCTTGGGTCCCTGCAGCCATGTGGGGAGACCTGGAGGGATCTCCCCGCTCCTGGCTTCGGATCAGCACAGCTCAGATCTGGCTGTTGCAGCCATTTGGGGAGTGAATCAGTAGATAGAAGACCTCTCTCTCTCTCTCTCTCTCTCTCTCTCTCTCTCTTCTCTCTCTCCCTGCTTTTCAAATAAATAAATAATAATCTTAAGATACCATTTGGGATTCTCACATCCCTTATCCGTGTGCCTGCATTTGAGTTCCAGCTCCTCCGCTTCCTGTCCAGCTTCCTGCAGATGCAAAGCCTGGAAAAGCAGCAGGTGATGGCCCAAGTGCTTGGGTCCCTGCCACCCACGTGGGGAGACCCTGATGGAGGTCCAGGCTCCTGGCTTAGGTCTGAGCCATCCCAGGCTGTTGTGGGCATTTGGGGAATGAAATCTGCTGATGGAAGGCATCTCTCTCACCCTGTCTCTCTTCCTCTCTCTTCTGCCTTTCAAATAAAATGCAAATAAGTACATGTGCAATTTAGAAAAACCAGCAGAAAAGCACCAACAAAATGCAAAACACGAGGCACTCAAAGACTGTGACAGACACTTTCTAGTGAGAGAATGGAACTGAGAAGGCAGAATGTCATCTGGTTGGAACCCAGGTTGGGAGTGGGCAGAGGGAGAGAGGGAGAACATGTACCTGCGGCAGCTAAAACTCCTCACTGCTCTCAGTGCATCTGCAAACGGCCACAAAAGAACCACAAAGACTGACACTGGGGCTGCCATGAGATCTCAGTGAATTGGCGAGTTCACAAATACAGAATCTGTGAATGCTGAGAATCCGCTCCCAAACTGAACGTGCTGGCCAGAGTCTGGGCCCTTGTGAGACCCAGTGAGCCCCCCTGCCAGCTGTAAGGTCCCCCCTTGAGATAAGGCAGTTGGCTGGGATGTGTGCAGGAGCCAGGAACTCCATCTGGGTCTCCCACATGGGTGATAGAGAGACCTAAGCATCTGCTGCTTCCCAGGGTGCACTAGCAGGGAGCTGGATCAGAAGTGGAGCAACCAGGACCTAAACCTGGCACTCTGATATGGGATTAGCCTGCTATGCTATGACAAGATTCTCGTGTCTGTTGAGGGCAACTCTTGGTATATGCTTCGTCAGCTCCATGAGG